TGATGTCAAGTAGCCTAAGATGATCTAATATTGATGTCAAGTAGCCTAAGATGATCTAATATTGATGTCCAGTACCCTAAGATGATCTAATATTGATGTCAAGTAGCCTAAGATGATCTAATATTGATGTCAAGTAGCCTAAGATGATCTAACATTGATGTCCAGTACCCTAAGATGATCAAATATTGATGTCAAGAGAACGTTGAGGGCGTGAACATCATTCCATAACATCATGTATGTTTATTGAGACAAGAAAGAAATACATCACAAAGGGATAGAGTAGCTTAGGCTATTTCTACCCGCCCCCCCCCCTCGTCCAGTATTTGTGTACAGCGATGGCTTGCGTCCGTTATCTGCGTCATGCAGTGAGAGTTTATCTTATTGCGTCACATTGTTTGGTCAGCATATCTTCACCTCGCGTTATTCTGATGAGTCACGGTAACGTGGCTGAAGAGTTAATCAGTATGGTGACTCATTAACACTGTTTGGAACATTTCGTTGTATCTGTGTGGGTGTGGGTGTGTGGGTGTGGGTGTGGGTGTGGGTGTGTGGGTGTGGGTGTGGGTGTGTGTAATAAGCTTGCTTGCTTGCTTATTGCGCGCGCACACACACACACACACACTTACTGCAAGCATATATCGAGGTTTATACACGGACGAACAACTAACCTTTTCCAGGATGTAACCCCCCCCCCCCAACAAGTTGACTAACTCCCCGGGTACCTATTTACTGCTAGGTGAACACGGACATTACACGAAAGGAAACGTGCCCAACCATTTCTGCCCCGCCCGGGAATCGAACCCTCCATCCCCCTCCCCCGATTGCGAGTCGAAAACGAACCCTGGAATGCCTATGTACACGAGTCGTTAGTGTAGGGTTGATGGTGACCTTGAGGCGGCTGTGGGAGGCACTGTGCCACCCCTCTGGCACTGTAGGTGTCGGGCCAAGTGCGGCCAGCCTCACATGCATCAGAAGAAAATGTATATATGCTGGTTAGCATTGTAAATGTGTGGCCACGTCTGTGGTAGAAAAAAAAAAAAAAAAAAAAAAAAAAAAAAAAAAAAAAAAAAAAAAAAAAAAAAAAAAAACACTAAATGCTGAACGAGTGTCGCTCTTCGCTACACATAGTGAAGGACGGGGTCGTGCAAAGTGTAGAGTCATTACCTAAGTGTAGTTACAGGATGAGAGCTACGCTCGTGGTGTCCCGTCTTCCCAGCACTCTTTGTTGTATATCACTTTGAGACTACTGACCATTTTGGCCTCCACCACCTTTTCATTTAGCGTGTTCCGTCTGGCACAAGACGGAGTGTAGAAGACAGTGGTCCTGGGCAACACAGGATGGTCCTATACAAAACACGGTGGTGTTGTACGACAGTCTGACTGACTCAGGTCAACACTGTTACACCTACACACACACACACACACACACACACACACACACACACACAACCACCCACACACAGAGTGGTAGACGGTTGGAACAAGTTAGGTGAGGTGGTGGTGGAGGCCAAGACCGTCAGTAGTTTCAAAGCGTTATATGACAAAGAATGCAGGGAAGACGGGACACCACGAGCGTAGCTCTCATCCTGTAAGTACACTTAGGTAATTACACACACACACACATTCCACCTCTGTCTGTGTGTGTGTGTGTGTGTGTGTGTGTGTGTGTGTGTGTGTGTGTGTGTGTGTGTGTGTGTGTGTGTGTGTGTGTGTGTGTGTGTGTGTGTGTGTGTGTGTGTGTGTGTGTGTGTGTGTGTGTGTGTGTGTGTGTGTGTGTGTGTGTGTGTGTGTGTGTGTGTGTGTGTGTGTGTGTGTGTGTGTGTGTGTGTGTGTGTGTGTGTGTGTGTGTGTGTGTGTGTGTGTGTGTGTGTGTGTGTGTGTGTGTGTGTGTGTGTGTGTGTGTGTGTGTGTGTGTGTGTGTGTGTGTGTGTGTGTGTGTGTGTGTGTGTGTGTGTGTGTGTGTGTGTGTGTGTGTGTGTGTGTGTGTGTGTGTGTGTGTGTGTGTGTGTGTGTGTGTGTGTGTGTGTGTGTGTGTGTGTGTGTGTGTGACTGGCATGACTGGAGAACCACAGCCAACCCCATTCCACACGACCGACACAATCTTCCCCCCCCCGTCACTAACTGGACTGGAAGACTCAGCCCATTAAACCTGGACAACCAACTCCGCCACCCACCAAACACCCCGTTAACACACTATCAATGTAACCCTCACCCGCAGGACCCCCATTAACCCCCAGCCCCCCCCCCCACCCCCACCCCAAGTGCCCTGAGGCAAGGGGAACAGGCCAGGGGACTGAGCTACAAGGGACCTGAGCTACAAGGGACCTGAAGCAAGAGGCACACATCTACAAGACAGCAAGCAGATCAGGAGGAAACACAGGAACAAGGGGGGGAGGGGGGGGTGCAAGTCGTAAGCTGTAATTTAAGGTCATAACAAGGTGGAATCGCAGAGTTAAAGCGCCAATTAAGAGGCAAATGAGAAGGGGGCCTTACAGGAGACGGGTTGATCACCTGTTGACGACCTGTCACGCCCTCTCCACGCTCCCTCAAGTATACGTTGCTTTTGCAACGTATACTTATCATAATGTAAAATAAGTGACCTATTAGTTGAGAGGACGGCTTGGTTGATGAGGCCTTGGCACACCAGCGCGCGCGAGCGAGAGAGACAGAGAGAGACAGAGACAAAGAGACAGACAGACGAGTGAAGACAGAGAATAAACGAATACCCAGTATTCGTTTCAAGTCAAGAGGGCAGCAGTCTATAATACCGCCGACAAAGGGATCCCGCTCACCCTTCACTTCTGTCCGAGCATCAAATCCAATTCTAGTTTCACGAGGTACTCAAGCGGGAGTGGAAACGTGTCCATCAATTTGATTTCAAGAAACTGTTACAATCGATCAAGTACAATTGATGTGTGGAGGTTGAGGCGGCCAGAGACCCCCCCCTCTCCCCCCCCCCTCTCTCTCTCTCTCTCTCTCTCACACACAGCGTCCACGAATTTTCCTTCCCATATTTCTTTCCTACCATTGGATAGGGGAGGGGGCGAAGGGGGGGGGGTTTCTCGATTCCTAATCTAACTCTCCGTGATTTAGATTCCCTGTTATCTTCTTGAGGTTACCTCGAGATGATATCGGGGCTTAGCGTTCCCGCGGCCCGGTCCTCGATCAGGGCCTCCTTTTTGTTACACACCGTCAGGAAGCAGCCCGTAGCAGGTACCTATTTACTGCTAGGGGTGAAATAAACTCTGCCCAATATGTTTCCGCCTCCACCGGGGATCGAACCCCGGGCCACAGGACTATGAATCTGAAGCACTGTCCACTCAGCTGTCAGACCGCTGTGACTAGTAGTGTTGCTTTCATCCTTTGTGCTGTTGTTGCTGGTCGCTGGAGTGCGTCTATGCGTGCTTTGTTAGTGTCTGTGTGGGTCTTCTGTTGCTTGCTCGGGGCTGCTATCTTACCAGGCCACTATATTTGCTATTTGTTATCAGAGTCCCAGTGATGGAGCCTGTGAATCCATTTATACAATCTACTAGTTCCTCAAACTTCCACTTTTTTGAGGTTATCTTGAGATGATTTCGGGGCTTCAGTGTCCCCGTGGCCCGGTCCTCGACCAGCCCTCCACCCCCAGGAAGCAGCCCGTGACAGCTGACTAACTCCCAGGTACCTATTTACTGCTAGGTAACAGGGGCATCAGGGTGAAAGAAACTCTGCCCATCGTTTCTCGCCGACGCCCGAGATCGAACTCGGGACCTTTGCTTTTGCTAGGACTGCAACTCTCCCTTCCTACCTATGTTTCCTTTCTTTATTGGTATCCCACTGGATATATATCACATCTCGCATTATATTTGGTTTCTACTATTTCAATAATTTTTTTCAATAACCATTTCTTTTAGTTCCTCTGCTTTGTTTGTAACTCCGTCAGCATTGGGGTAACCATACTTCAAGCTCTTCTTAAGGATACTAGTTTCCTGAATTCTCAAAAGCACTCCCGTCCATTTGTGTATGTGATGAATGGTTGTGAGATTTCTAACCATCCATTGGCTTTCTAACCACCAAACAACTGCATGTCAGACCTTGGGAACCTGGGACCAGATTCACGAAGCAGTTATGCAAGCACTTACGAACGTGTACATATTTCCTCAATCTTTGACGGCTTTGGTTACATTTATTAAACAGTTTACAAGCATGAAAACTTTATAGTCAACTGTTGTTATTGTTATAAACAGCCTCCTGGTGCTTCGGAGCTCATTAACTGTTTAATAATTGTAAACAAAGCCGCCAAAGATTGAGAAAAGATGTACAGGTTCGTAAGTGCCTGCGAAACTGCTTCCTGAATCTGGCCCTTGGACTGGGGTTTATGGAGCACTAGGTCCGAAGACCCCCCAATCAGCACAAGACTGAGCCCCCACCCTCATCACTCATGCTTACAAAACAATTTAGAAACTCTGAAATGCTATCCGCGCTTTTCGGCAGAGTTGTAGAAAATGGTTATAATTCCGCTTTTGGAATATATAAGTGTCCCCCCTAGTTCATAAGAGCATCGGATTAGATGGTTCTCAAACCTCGACTCTTCGTAGTGTCGAAGTCTTACTGACAGGTATCATTCAGTCATTACCTTGATGGACAGGTGAGTCATTCAGTCATTACCTTGATGGACAGGTGAGTCACTCAGTCATTACCTTGATGGACAGGTGAGTCACTCAGCCATTACCTTGATGGACAGGTGAGTCATTCAGTCATTACCTTGATGGACAGGCGAGTCACTCAGCCATTACCTTGATGGACAGGTGAGTCATTCAGTCATTACCTTGATGGACAGGCGAGTCACTCAGCCATTACCTTGATGGACGGGTGAGTCATTCAGCCATTACCTTGATGGACAGGTGAGTCATTCAGCCATTACCTTGATGGACAGGTGAGTCACTCAGCCATTACCTTGATGGACAGGCAAGTCACTCAGCCATTACCTTGATGGACAGGTGAGTCACTCAGCCATTACCATGATAGACAGGTGAGTCACTCAGCCATTACCTTGATGGACAGGTGAGTCACTCAGCCATTACCTTGATGGACAGGCAAGTCACTCAGCCCATTACCTTGATGGACAGGCAAGTCACTCAGCCCATTACCTTGATGGACAGGCAAGTCACTCAGCCATTACCTTGATGGACAGGTGAGTCACTCAGCCCATTACCTTGATGGACAGGCGAGTCACTCAGCCATTACCTTGATGGACAGGCAAGTCACTCAG